GTGGGGAAACTGAGGCCAACAGAAAACACCATGATGCTCATGAAGAAGGATGGCAAACTAAGTCATCCCTAGTGGTGCCCTGGGGATGATGGATGTGGGTAGAGGCTTGATTAAGGCCATGGCTTCATAGCCATGCAAATGTCTAAATGCATCAAATTGCAGACATTAAATATGTGTGATTTTGTATGCCCATTACACCTCAGTAAAGCTGTGTATATGTACCAGTTCCCCACAATGAACATGTTTACTATGCATCACAAATATATACTGATAAATTTTTTAAAGAAGCAGACAGAAAAAAAATCCCCAAATCATCTCCAGTGATCCAAAGATAACCACCCCCCGTGAGACAAAAACTAAACAAATACAAACTATGTCACTTTGCATGCAGTTGTGTGCCTCTGTGTATTGTCCTACGAGCTTTCCAGTTACCAACGCCTGTAACACTGGAAGGTTTTCCTCAGTGAACAGCCTCTCTCTCTAGTCCTGTGTGTGCTAAAGCTTGTACTGACCTCTTTCCTTCCACTCTTCTTGGCCAAAGAGGATGCAGTGTCTGTTTCTTCCATCGCTTTCCAAAATTTCTTTTACTTATCTCACTAGACCCAGTCAACAAATAACACTCTCAATCTCCTATAAAATGTTTGCTCTTTATTACCACCAAGCCTTATGGAAGAAAAGATAAAAGGACTCGGTGGATTTCCACTTGGAAATTTGGCCAGTATCTTCCACGCTGTGATCAAAGGCCCATTTCCTTTGCAGCTTAAAGGGTACACCGAGTCCAGCCAGCAAATGGGAGTGACTGTCCTCTGTGAGCCAGGTACAGTCCTGGCTTCTGGAGCTACAGAAGGAACAGCACAAACTGGCTCGAAGTTTACAGCACAGCAGTGGAGGCACTTGTGGGGCTGCAAGTTGCAAGGAAGCAGAATAAAGTTGGATGGGGACACAGAGAGAGCCCTTTACTTGCTTTGGGCCAATTACAATTATTTTCCCTTTTCCTAGACCTTCCCACCAGCTGTGCCACTTATAAGTTAGGAATCGCATTTCCAATAGGAAGCCAGCGAGCAGCTTCCTCCTGATACTGGTTTCCATCCTGTTGGAAGCAGCGGCTCCACCCCAGCCATCAGCTGGGAAGCAGCTTGGCAGGGTCCTCCTCCTCCTGCTGTGTTTGCCCATGGTCAGGCTCTTCCTGTGCTCTGCGTTCTGCCTCCTTGTTCACTTACCTTGCGTTCAGTGGGAGTTTTGCTCTCATTCTCCTAATTCTAGGAGAAGCAGACAGATGCTTTCAGGACAGATTCAGGCTTTCAGGACTTTTTTGTTTTTCATATTTTCTATTAGGCACTGAAATATTCAGTATTGCAAGATAATATTCCAAGTTGCTGTAAAAAAATTTCTCTTCATTTTGCAAAACGTTATTACAGTCAGATTTGTGCAACATGGTGCTGATCCCAGAAATAATTTTCAGAAAAAACATCTTACTGTTTACCTGTCCTACACAAGTGGTCAGATGAAAATAAATGAACTAAACTTGGGGTGATCTCTATGCACATCAGGGAACCCCAGAGCCTCGTCAGTAACTGTCACTGCAAAATACAACCAGCTTCTGTGTCAGCTACTGTGCCTGCCTGAAATTGCTTAGAAGATTACACTGGCAATGGTCAGGTGATGAAAAAGCAAATTTTCTACAAATAACAGAGTGAAGATGCTGAAGAACAAATATTAAAAGGAGACACCTACAATCAGTAGAGCACTCAAAACGCTGTGTTTAACAAAACATTAAAAGCCTAAAATTTCTACAAAATCTGATTTGATACCTTTAATCATCCTTCTAGAAATTTACCGAAATAGAGTAAGTGAACAGCAGATACCACTTTTCTAATACACAGAAGGGAAATAAACGGCTGCCTTCTAGCGCCATCCTCAGCAGTAAGTGCCTCAAGCAATAAACCTGTGTTTATTTGTAAAAGGAAGAAAACGATTCCTCCCCACCTGATAATCACCCTGTAAAGATGAATGATATCACCTGATGAGGACTTAGGAATTATGGGCAATTTTACCATTGTCGGGGATTTATTGGTTTTTATTTTTAGGAATTAAGAAGATGCTTTATGGATTCTCAGAACTGCAGAGATTAACTATAAAGCAAACATCTAACTGCACTATGTTTTCTTGGGACAAGGTGTTTTGTGACCCCAACTCCTCAGCAAAGCATTATGGAATGCAGCAGCTTCCACAGGGCCAGAATAAATATAATCACATCAAAGAAGCTGAAAAGAGATCAAAGTAGGAGCAAAATCTGTTTGCAATGTAAATTAATCCAGGAACTCATCCAATGAGAGCGAGAGCCAGCTGTGTCTGCTTCTAGCTCCACCCACAAGCTGTCCCAGTGGTTTCCCATGTGGGCCAAAGAGCCTGAGCCAGGTCAGCAGAATCAAGAGCGCTGTTGCCAACACCCTTCCTTCCCTGGATCCAAGGATCCCTCCTCTCCCTCCATTCCTCTCCCTTGGGCATTTGGCAGTTCCTGTGAGTGAGTGCTCATGGAAACTGACCCTGCAGGATTTCTTAGACTGTGAACTCCAGCACCCATTTCAAACAAACTGGAGAAAAACAATTACGCTAACAAACCCGCATCTCTACTTAAGTGGAAAGAACTACTGCTTGTTTCTGCACTGGTCTTGATTTACTCTGGCCCAGGGATACTCCAGCACCATGGAAGAAACCATGCTACTCAACAACAATCTCCGAGCAATGAGGCTCCATCCCTAAGAGGGCACCTTGGGTGCTAGTTCTTAATTCTCACTGTTAGCAATGGCATAACCATGATAAAAGAGGGTGTGGAGGTTATTTCTTAGTCTTGAGCAATTTTTCAAAGTACAAACCTTGACTGTAGTTATCGTACAGCTCTGGTATCACCTGTATCAGTAGAGAAACAAACATGGACAATTCAGAAAATGAAAAGGTTTCTCTCTTTAAATTCCTGCTCTATAAAGTACTTGGTGTAGTTCTCTGGTCCTTATAACATCACAGTCTCTGCTTTTGGTTTTTTATTTTCTTTTGTTTTAGGGCTTTGCTTTGTTTTGTTTTGTTTTTTATTGTTCATTATACAATTCTACTTTTGATAAGAAGAGAGAGTCTGCCTTAAAAGAAAAAATTCCCATGCTAAAATAAACCTACTATCACGTTATTAAAAGCCATGGATAAGAATTAAAGGGCTAGTGAAGGAAGTCACTCCTCAGAAAAGGCTTCCTTACCTAGGATTTCATCTATACGGTGTTTTGGTAGATGTTAAAATTCTGGAGACAGTGAAAGATCAGTGGTTACCAGGCAGGAGGGGAAGGATGCTCAGATGGAACACGGGAAATTGAAAACAGTGCATCTATTCTGACACTGTGATGATGGATATGTATCAAGACCAACAGAACCCAGGGCACCCAGCGTGAGTCTTAATGTAATCTGTGGGTGTCAGCTGGCGCTGAGGGCTTAGCATCAGAGGGAAGCAGTGTGCCATCCTAGCATCTGATGCTAACAGTGAACGCTGCTATGCATGTGCAGGACAGAGGGCTTATTAGAACTTTTTAAACACTTTTGCTAAAGTTTTCCATGAGCCTAAAATTCATCTTGAAAACAGTTTCTTTTTGTAATGGAGATGTTTTCCCACTACTCAGACATCACAAGTTTGAGTTACGCACAGCAGAACAAGTATGGACAAAATAAACTCACCGAAGAGGGAACTAGAAGAAGCAGAGATGTCCTAGTGTGTCCTCCTTCAACCTCTATTTATTGTTTTCCCCCATCTGTAGTCTGTACTTTGGTCTTTGGTTGTTTTTCCTTCTATCCTCACCATACAAACTTCTCTCTCCAGAAATAAAAAGAAGCAAACACTTTCTCAGAGTAGTATTAGTATCAGCTGTCTCATTACTATTTCCACCCAGACTTGGTGGGCTCAGCAGCCCTATGTGATGCTCGCAGCTGCTGGGTCACAGTGAGGATGGTTTGTCTCTGTTCGCTGATGCCGGGGACCTGAACTGGAAAGATCCAAGACAGAGTCTGCTCAACATCTGGGGTCCAGAATAATTAATGGCACTCTCTCTCCCATGCCTGGACATGGATTCTGTCTGTGGCCTTGCAACTCAGCTATCCTGTCACCCAAAATACCAGTCATGTATCCCCTCCAGTGTCCCCATATAGACTAACTTGGGCACAGTGGCTGTGGATAAGGGACAGTATCCCAAGAGAGAGCAAGAGGTAGCACATGGCACATCCATGAGCTGGCCCAAGACGTCACTCAATGTCATTTCTTCCATACTCAAATGTGGCACCGTGGTCTATTTGCTTTTAAGAAGAAAGGATGGAAGCTCAAACCACTGGCTGGAGGCGTGCCAAAGCCAGGATGTGAGAACACATAGGTAGGAGGGATGATGGCAAATGTCACCTGCCACGGTACAGCCTGCATCTGAGTATCCAGTTAGAGCTCAGTCTCCCTCTGTACCTCTGATTTTCTGTTTCTGATTATAAAGCACACGGTGGCAGGAATGGTGCACTAATTTGCGAGAGGTTCACCGTAGTTTCCTGTATTGACAGAAGACATGACATTGTTACCAGTGCTGTAGCTGCTGACTGATGCATGCACCCGAGTAATCAGTGCCTTATGCTACGATATCTGTAATGGGTTAAAAGCATCTCCACACTAGCCAAAACATCACATAGTATCTTTAATGTGTGAGTGATGATATACTCCAATAAGGTCTTGATTGTGTGAGGAAAAAGATGTACTTTCTTCTCCCAAGTGAATAGAGTCTTGTGAACCAACAATTCAGTCTTACAGTGGCGGGTGGGAAGACTACCTTGAAGAAATTTTTTTTGGTAATTTTTTTCATAATTAATCACTTTTAATTTAGTAAATGAATAAAGGGTCTGTATGTAACAGTCATCTATGTGGACTTGTTTGTGAATAGAAATCTCCCCTAACCAGGTAACTAATGAAGACAATTGTCCCTTTACAGTTGACTTCATAGGCGGCTTTGACTCTTATGGCTATCAAGGGCCTCAGAAAACATCACACTTACAACTACAGCCCATGTACATGTGAGTACACACCGTGGTGGGGTTCTCCGGGGGAGCTGAAAGATGGAGGCGAGCAGCATGGCACGAATAGATGGCAAGCTTTCCTTCGGTTATGTATCTCCAGGGTTTTCTCTACTATCAATATTATTTTTACCAGGCTAATTCTAATAACACTTTCTTCATTTTTTAAGTTTGCTTTATCAGAAATGCCATATCCTAAGTTATCTTTAATCTTATACAAATATTACCTACACGGCTCAAAAGCCTGTTATATACCAGTTCTTGAAATTACCCAGAAGTTATGTATTTTGAAGGTGATCATAACATTGCAGGTCATTGTGTATAACTACATATGAGACAGACTCCTCTGGTTTTCCCGGGGAGTCCCAATTTACAGTGGTTGCCTTGGATGATTCCTATCCACTCTTCATATTACTCCAAGAGTTCTCACTGAGATGCAAACCGGCAGCTCGCCTGACTTATGTGTAGTTTTCAGAAAGCAGAAATCCCCAAAATACTCTTGCTCTATCGTCTTTCTAGTGTAAAAATGAAAATGACTGGAGCATTATCCCTGAAACTTGTTGATCCCTTAACCCTAGCACTCAAGAGGGCAGACATACAATCAGACCCTGATTTTTATATCTGTGTTTAGGCAAATTCCCTTGGATAACAACTGATACCCCATTCTATATATCAGCATCAAGTGGTATGCTGAATTGCAAGCGAAGATCAAAATAGAAAGTAAGATTCCAATTCATTTTAACATGTGAGCTTCTCTTTGAAGATATGTGTTTGTTGTTGCTGTCCTGCACCATGAAACCATCTTCCTTTAAGTATCTTTAGCATGTAGGGTAACAAACGGATCTGGGGAGTATGCTCCTCCAAAGAGATTAAAGCTATCTTTGGACAATCCCTTTACCCTTCTCTTAAAAAAAAATTGCTATTTGCCTTGTGCCTGCCTTTTTCTCTGTGTTCTTCATAGTTCTCTGCACGCATTTGCTAAGGCCACTCCTAGCAAAGACTTTTTCAGTTCAGACACCAACCAGATCCATATGTCATTTCAAATCAGTGCCTCTGTGTCATGCATCCTTTGTTTTAAATGCCCACAGTCACTGCCCTAATCCAAGCATTCATGATCTGTGAATTTTTCCTGTTTCTTATTTCAGAACTTCTGCTCTATCTTCCACGTGACTGCCAAACTAATCTTCCAAAAACACTTGTCAAATACAGTCATTGAAATTGGGATCAAATAGCCTATTTAATTCCTTGCCCCAAAGAGTCAGTGAGTCAAAATTCACTGTAGCCTAAAAGTTTACCTTGGGCTAGTCTCAACAGTGTGCTGAAATATTATCTCTTCTCGTCAATCTTTAATAACTTTTGAGTCCCAACCATGTTCAGATGATGTTCACAGTCACTTGGAATTGTAATGCTGAATAAGAACTGGCCCTGTCCTCCTGACGCTTCTAATCTGTGAAGAGCATAAATCTGCTATCTTTCTTGGTCATTTTTGCCCAGCTGCACTGCAATGCTTGCCTTCTCCAAAAGTGTCATGTATTTTTTCCAATTCTCCACGTGGAGTTTTAGCTAACTGACCTAATTTTGTTCCAGTTCCACTCTTTTCAGTCCCGTTATTCTTCAAGTTTTACCTTAAAATGTAATTCCCATACGAAGCACTTGTTAATTTCTTCTTTCTCTAATGACTCTTTTCCTTTTGCCGTAAACCATAATTGCTTGTTACCAAAACTTTCCTGACCTCTCGGAAAGACTTGGTAGCTTCATGAGAAGGAAAGTGAAATTTTCTATAAATTCTTTAACACTTCTCTCAGTTTTATTGCAGCATTCTGTAAAGTGTCTATTTGAAAAAGGCAAAGCAATCTGAAATACTCATAAAATGACCTATTGAAGACAAACTGCCTGAGACTAAATTCCTTATGATCTGGGCATATAACTTTGAATAACTTTAATCTTACCAAGTGTCACCTGCAAAATAGAGAATATAATACACTTACTTCATTTAATTGTTTTGAAATTATATACAACACATGTAAAGTATGTAAAACACAGCACAGGCTCCATAGTAAGTCGTTAGTACACATAATTTATTAGTAGTAGCAATAATGTTTATATTAACCAACATTATTTATGAAAGGCCTTTTTGAAGTCAGAAATCAACAAATACTATATATCATTCCAAAAAATCTCTCCTATCAACAGAGCAGGTCATGAAATAGGTATGCTCAAGTAACATGCAACAATGTAAGCTCAAAAGTAATGAAAATATCTACAAGGTTTGCAATTATTTGCTTCTGACAATGTAACGTCCCATTATATTGGGCAATAACTGTGATGAAGACACAATAAATTCAATGTAGCCACTCAGCTATTCATCAACCATGATAATACTGTGAGGATGCTGATTAGTCATAATCAACTCTATTGTTTCAAATCAGGTATTTATCATTCCAATGTTGATCTTTAAACAACTCCTCAAAAATACATATTAAATTCCCTGAGCACAGACCTTCCCATGATGTTACTAAATAGAATGCCTAATGCAAGTAACAAATGTGTTTTCCTCTGTAATGGCTGAAAATGGTGAAACTACATGAGAGCTCTCAAGTTGCATAGCTCATGAAGTTAATTAAAAGTTTAATGGAGGGGGCTGGGGATTTAGCTCAGTGGCATAAGCGCCTGCCTTGCAAGCAGGCAGTCGTGAGTTCGATCCCCGGTACCAATAAAAAGGAAAAAGACAAAAAAAAAAGTTTAATGGAGCTCAAATCTCAGGAATTAGGAATAATTAAGGTGCATCAAAAATTTACTAGTCAAAATTCTGCTACCATCCCTTCCATCCATCATCCCATAAGATTCCTCAGATCCCAGAACACTTATGAGAAAACTGAGTCAAGAGATAGGAAAACAGAAGCCAAACAACTAGTTAGTGGTCAGATGAGATTATCAGCCAGTTTTCCTGAGCCATTAGTTCATTTCTTTCCTAAATTCTTTGGTGTGCTCTGAGTGTAACCTGGCACTGCTTTGCCTGGGTTTATTTTACTTCTGGTGCAACTTACAGGAAGTCATCTGCCATGGCCCCATGGCAACACCTCCCTTTTGCACTTTCCTCTTCTTCCCTTTAGCTTGTACCCCATAGAATGCTGCACAAAGGGAATTTTAAATTTTGTGACCCTCAAAACTCATTCACTGAAAGCCACTGCCTATTCTAATCCTGTGAAAAATCAAAACCAAGTCACCTCTCCCACTCTGTCCTGCTGAGAGGCAGAGCCCTGAGCATCTCTCTGTCTTTGTCATTTGAAACGTCCCCTCTTCTATCAATCTGCCATAAATATGTCCTGTAAAGTAAGAGTAATTTAACATCATAGGCTAGTTCAAGAACCCATAAATATTATATAGCAACTGGAAATAAAAGCTGTTCTTTTGAGAGAAATCAACTAAAGGCAATGTGACTTTCTAGCCATGAGATTTCCACTCTACTCAGCAACCTGGACAGAGCTGTGAAGTCACTGTGGACACCTATTTACAGTCACAGCCATGTCCCTGTGCTTGTGGCCATTGGAGATGGGTCTTCTTCGTTTTCAGTTAAGTTTGGTGAATGTTCTCGATTTGTGATTTTTCACATTATCATATACAAAGGCAAGGTCCTCACTGTTTTTCTTTTCCGCATAGTTTGGTCCGTCTCTTTGAAACAAGTGGGTAGCAACTAAGTGACAGCACAGAAAATTCCCATGTCCACAGGTTAATGTTCTAACAAAGTAATAGCTTGATGACCACTAATTTATGCACCATAGCACTAAATCCCTTGCTCCCCACCAGTGAAAATGTCCTGTGGTGTATTAGAGCATGCGAGAAAACATGGCAATCTTTTGGGCAGCCTAATTGTACAGGAATCCATATTCATTTCACTCCGCCCCAGAAATAGATCTTAAATGACCATATGTGGCCTCTTTATCCAGGAAGTTGCACTGAGAAAAAAAGAAAAGGAGTGGAAAGGTTGTCTATTTAAAACCCAACATGGGTTGCTTTCTTTCCCTTTTTTCTTTTGTGTTTGCTCTTGTGCTTAGAAAGGTGGGGAAAGGTGAGAAGGAGCAGTTACCCAGTGCTCTTCCAGTGGATTAAAATCATCTTTTCTATTCCTTAGGTCAAAATGAAACAGAGGACTTCAGTATGTCAGCCCATGGACCTCTCAAAGAACTTGTTCCGCAGTGGCCTCCTGTGTTTTACAAAGAACAAGAAGCAAATGAATTTTAATATAGATACATAAGAACAGAGCACACACAGGTTTCTACACACACACACACACACACACACACACACACACACACCACTTCCACTCAGTCTCGGCCCAATATGGAGGTCACGCCCACCCTGGATTTCCTGAGAGCAGGCTCTTTCTCCTAAGGCCTTTGACAGTTCCACAGGAGATGCACTGGTGTCCTCGCCTGGCCCTACGCACTTCCTACCGCCCAGCTGTCGGCCTCTGCTGGCTGGGAGTCTCCAGGGCCCTGCCTCGGACAGCCCTGTTTCTGCACTCTGTAGATCTCCATAGCACCACAGCTACTTAGGCAACGTAATTACAAAACCAGACACCGAGACCTTGTACCCGACATCCACAGTGGCAGGTTGCTGGCCCCAAAGGCTGTGCCGTCCACACTCGCCTTAACCCACCTACATTGTGTGTAGACCCCAAGCCACGTCCTTAGGCTACCACACTGCTGTGCATTCTGAGCGAGCTGGAGTGTGTGATTTGTATCAAGGAAGGAGACAGACCAGCTCAGTAGCTCTCATGAGTCTGTAAGGAAACTGCTGGCAGTCAGCCAAGGGCTTTCCTACGGAGCCCCCACGGCGGCCAACAGAGACAGGAACCAGCAACCAGCATAGTAAGCGTCATCTTTAGAACCCTTCAATATGGTCTTCTCATGGGGTCGGGGTGGGACAAAGTAAAATTCATTAATCTACTATACTCATTAATCTACTGAAGCAGAGATGGCTTAAGTCACTACTTTTATTTATTGCACTCTAGGTGCTTTTATATCTACAGATGTCTTTTACTAACACAGAGAACAGCTGTGGGTTTCTAGCGACAGAGGCCAACTGACTATGTATTAGCTATGTTTACTCTTTTATATCTACTTCAAACTGAAGACCCAATGTAGGTGAACTTTCTTTTCTAACTTTGGTGTACGAGATTATTTTTGGGGTGGGTGGGTGGGGAACCATAGTTACCTTGGTGAAATATCTGAGATCTCTTTGTGGTATTGGGGGATCTGTTGTGTGTTAGAGTGTATTTCAATTCTCCTGTATTATTGTGGCAGAAAAAAAAAAAAAGACTGTGCTGTTATAACGTAGTTGGCAACAAGATGCCTTTGGAAACTTAATAGTAGGTCAATGTGTTTATGAAATACTCTGAACTCCTAGGAAATTTTGCTTTATAATTCCAAGCATTATTTGGTTTTCATTAGTGAGAAACATAATTAGCTCAGGCTTATCAGTAACAGACCAGTTATTTTTTTTCTTGGAGACCACTAAAATCAATTTTTGTTTAGGCTAACTTCACACCATATTTAAGTGCAGTGAAATTCAGACTGGGATAGTTATAAATTGGCATGGAGCGACTTTTTCCTTTGGTTTCTGCGAAGTTTTAGTTGTTGGGTTAACCTCCTTTGGACCTTAGCCCATTCAGATCTCCATGTAACGGTCCCATATCTGTGTTTGCATGAATGTTTATAATACACATACACACTTATAGATTCAAAAAGGATAAAAGAGCAAAAAGTTACCACTGAAACATAAACCATAAAAGAACAAAGATTCTAGCATTCATGCTTGAACTTTCTCAATGGCTTGTGTATATTTGTCCATACATACATGTATAAAATACACAACTCAATACATCAGTGAAACCTCATTCAATGCTTTGATAGTAACATGCATGTTTAATGTATGTATGAAAAAATACTGACCACTGTATTTCCCTTTGACGCCTAAGTTATAAATACTATACATGCCAGAAACTATTCTAATGTGACGATTAATGTGACTCTTACCATGAGGTTTCACTGTCTATCCCTGGAACGAGAGTCCGCCTTCCAGCACATGTGTATGGATACAGAAAATAAGCCCTCATCCTCCCAATTTGCAATGCAGCCAATCACCACTTTCATCACCACCAAAATTTTCAAAAACAGTTGTTGACTACTAAAAAGTGAATCAGTGGACAGGCTTTCATAGGAGCGCTAAGCACAGTAGTGTGATTCTATCTGGGAAAACATCTAAGTTGTACAGCTGAATCCTCCTCAAATTCTGGTGAAGAATGCTATTTTTCTAGGCTGAGCTTTTGTTATAAACCTAATATTCAGAAGGCAAGAGTTGCAATCCTGATGTGTCTTTTTTTTGCATTTGTTAATTCTGAATGTATTTTTAACAGAGTGATTTTTTTGACTTACTAGTGTAATTTGCATTTTAAAAATAAATGGAAAAACAATTCCGTTTCTGAGCCATCCCTTAAAGCCCCTGCTGACGCCTGTGTACCTCATCGTGCCATTGATGGGAAAATCATGCCACTGATGCTGGGCCGGGTAAGGATGTGACAGCAGTGAAAAGAAACTGCCCCATGGTTACAGGACATGCACACTCACTCACATCCTCTGCTGATGCTGGCTCCTTCCGGAAGACACCAGGACAGGCTTGCAGCTGTATTTTCACTTCCTTCTAGCACTAAGAGCCAGCATCAAGCTAAGACCTGACAAAGCTATTGGAAAAGTATACTCAAAGCCTTTGGTTAAATTCTGAGGAGAGGTTTTCATTTTTTAATAAAAATTTTTTTCTTTGCAATAAAATAACTAACTTAAAATATTCATTGATTGCCCCCTGGGTTACCTAATCTAGTGCTGTCATGGCCATTGGAATGCTGATTTCACCTTAACTGAAGACAGCAATAATGAAGCATTTCGGGGCAGGGGAGGCAGAGGGAAAAGAGGGACCCTTCACTTGAACTGAGATTCAGCAAGACCCACAAAATGGGGAGCAGTGCCTGGAGCTGCTGCTGAGCTGTGAGCTGCCCCTCACGGATGCCTACCAGCCCCAAATGTCATGGCAAGGTCGCTCAAAAGCCGAAAGGTACAGCGGCAGAGGGCTCAGCACATGAGGTGAGCCTGCAGATCTTGGTCCCTGGCCAGCGGCCAGAGTCTTGGGATAACAAAGGCTGTTTGCACTCCTGGTCCCTGTGTGGAAGGTGCTCACGGAAGCCCTTGTGGGGACGTGTCCAGCACTGCTTCACGTGCCATGTCAAAGTCACATAACATCTCACCTGCATACAAGGTGACAAAACTAGAAAGTCAGAAAAACAGGTCTATCTCCTGATACTTCTGTGTCGCTGTAGTATAGTTGGTGGGTTTGGTAAATGCTAGGAGAAACTGTGCTTATTTGCAGAATATGAGAAAACAGAACTTGTCACACCGTAGAGCAAACATCCAACCTTCTACTGTGACACAGGGAATAGCTCACTTTTCATTCAGAAACAGATCTATTTTAAACGGGCCACATTTAGAACAAAACTTTGAGATCCAAATCTGAGTCATCATAGAGACAGTAAACTAAGGTTTACAAAGATTAAGAAATCACACAAGGTGATCACGTATGCTGAAAAACCAAATTAACCACCATTCCTCAGCAGTGTCTTACATACTCCCCCCTGGTCAAAATAAAGTAAGTCAAATTGCAGAGTCAATGACTGACCCTAGATTTTATAAATTCAAGTGAACTGTGATAAAGAATCCAAAATAGTATAAATTATAATGGTATAAATAGTATAAGTTGCTTCTGAATTATTTAGACAGCATAATTTCTGTGTTCAAATACACTTTATTATACTTCCTTTAAAACCAATAATCCATACTCACATGTAAACGTGCATATATAAAGTATTCATGTGTATTATTCAACCAGTTATGTTCAATTCAGGATTAAAAGGTTTCTCATTGTTATTTTGCATACTTAGATTAGGATTTCTAAACAATAAGTTTTCAGTTTTTCCCATATTCACCCCAAAAATCTTTCTTTGAACATTTAATGGTCTTCATTAACATTTCAGCCCTCAATATCTACACTCGGAAACTTTTGCTACCAACAGTTTACACTGCAGAAAAATAAAGCCTCGATTATTTTCATCATCTGTCAATCCTTGCTTAGGATCCATGTCTAGTTCACTTTCCATCTTATGGTACCTACCCTCTTTCCACTTTCAAAAAAGGGAAGTGCAAATCTATGATCAATATGTTGGACCAATCTAAAAAGCACTAGTACATTGAAATAATCACTTTCAGTAGGTATGAGGGAAAAAATCTGTAAAATGAATGTTTATGTTCTTACTCTATACCTTTTAATTCCATAAACATTTAAAGTAAATAACTCTTTGAAGGATTACATTTACAGTACTAATCAGATTTACTTAGGTGTCATGGGCAGCAATTATTAGTGACAGCAAATAATTCCTTTGTTTCCTTTGAGAGGAAACAAAGGTGAGAGGTCCTTCTAAAATGTTTAAAGATGGGTACTTTTATTTTCTCTATAACAATAGTACAGGTCATTTTTTTTTACATGTTCTGGAGTTTAAGAGCAATATGCTTAAAATGTTGACAGATAACGCAAAGTGATAACTACAAGATCAATTTAGAAAGGAAAAATTATTTTACAAGCCACACATTGACACTCATACATAGTCTTTATAATTATTAAAATTAACATACGTCTCTTCTATTATGAAATTACCTTCACCATATGGCACATTTATAATAAAACAGGAATACTCATTAACTGTTCATTCCACTCTCCTAGGAAAGAAATAAAATAACCCCCCAAAAAGATTGCAGGTTGGTGCTGTCACCCAAGGATGATGGATTGATGCAATTAATCAGTAAGTCTTTTCTAAGAGCCTTCTGGGAATGCCTCACCAAAGGCATGCCCTGTGCGCTTCCTTCCAGGTGCCCGTCATGTTTCTTCATTATCCTCTAGTTTTACTCATTATATCTTAGGGGTTATGCAGATCTCCCTGCACACACAGAAGATGTTGCACACGTAAATCCTCCAAGCTCCAGGCTCCACGCTGGCGGCCACCAAAACACCCGAGCTTCTTGTCATTGTTATCTCAGGTTGACCAAGAGTCTCTCAGGATGGAGCTAATAAAAAGACATGCTGACACATGGTGAACCCATGGGGAAGTACCAAATTGAAAAAAGGTTACAACCTTCACTGCCCTCTACTGCACACGTGGACTAGCCTCACTGCCTCACTACCTTACTATGGATGATGTTCCATCTCGAAAGCACATGGTTGCAGAGACCCAGAGGGCAGAAAGGTGGGTAGGGACTGAGCTCCTGGCTCCTGGACAACAAACATATTCAGTGAGTGGACTTCTTTGAATAATGACAAACAAAGATTCTTAACAGTAAAATATTTTTGTTCCTAATAGACCAAATCATCGGTCAATTGTAAATAATGAGGATTCCACCTTGTAACTGTTGGAATGGCTGTTATCAAAAAGATAGCAAGTGTTAGTGAGCACATGTAGAAAATGGAACCCTTGAACACTGTTAGTGGGAATCAAGGTGAGTACTGTCATCCTGGGAACACATTTCTATGAAAATGAAAAATGGAACTACCATAGGACCTAAGGATCCCACTTTTGAGTGCATAGCCAAAAGAGAAGAAATCAGTATGTTTCACATCACAGAAACATTTAAAATCACACGGTGATTATAGTTACCTGTAAGACTCACAATAGCAATGACTCTAACAACAATGTATTGTCTACTTGAAAATCTGTAAGAAAATAAATTGTACCACAAAGAATGAGTGTGAGAACACACTGTGTGTGCTATATATCATAAATATACACAACTGTTGTCAATTGAAAATTAACTTCTAAAAATTAAAATTAATTAATTATCTTTGGACTGGGAATCAAACTCAAGACCTCATGCTTACCAGGCATAATTAACTCTAAAAGTAGTATTGAAGAGGAAAATACTCTTGTTGCTGAAGAATCTTGTTGCTAAATCTTGTTATCAGGGTGGAGAAGAACCTTGTTGCTGAATCTTGTTATCAGGGTGGTTTATAGCACCCAGAGATAGAAAAATGTGAGACTGCTCATTCAAAGAACCGGAAAGCAATACTGTTAAAAATACCAAAATAGGGGCTGAGGATTTAGCTCAGCGGCATAAGCACTTGCCTTGCAAGCAGGCAGTCATGAGTTCGATCCCTGGTACCGATAAAAAGGAAACAAAAGACAAAAAAAAAAAAGTATCAAAAGTACCACTTTCCCTTAAGGTATATTTATCACTTGTAAAATATAAAGAGGATAATGAATAATGATATAGAATCATAGGTTATAAGAATTTTTATAATTTTATAAAATAAAATAAATACAATATTATTGGTGTATCTTGACTTATCACACAATGTTTTTGACTCACCTTTCTGCAACCTCTTTATTTATTGAACATCCAAAAGTCTACTTTTAGCTAATTTTAAACTAATGAGATCAAAGGTGATATGGGTCATTCTTAGTAAATGCATCACAATTAATTGGTTATAATTTTTAATTTTGAGACTTCTGCTGACACAAATGGAGCTGCTAAAAATATTTTATAGACTGCCAATTAGGGACAATTTTCTGATGAATTACTTTGGAAATAATTATATAAATAATACTAAAATGTTTTAACCACTTAAAGCAGATGATTCCCAGAGAACAATTTTCCTAAAAAGATTTAACTTTTCAAAAAAATTAGTTTCATAATTTTTAATCTGAAATTTTATTTATTTATTTTTTAAATCCAACCAAAACAAACCAGTGTAAGTGACACAGGACTTCAAAACAATAGGATATCCACAATGGTTACCATAATGCCTCTTATTGTCTTCAAAATAGCTGCAGATACCTTCAGACATAGTAGAAATCAGACAAAACAGAACAGAATAGAACCAGTAAAAACAAAACAATGAATGCAATAAAGGACTTCAAAACAATAGTAAATCCAAAATGGCTTGGATTATATGGCTTGCCATATATATATGGCAAGATATACATACAATATATTTTGCTATCTTTGAAATAGCTGCCCATGTCATCTGATATAACAAAATCAAACAAAACAAAACAGAATAAAACCCAACCCAACAAAACAATGAAAAGGATACAGGAGTTCAAAACAAAATAACAAGGAATTAACAATGGCCACCACCTTCAGAAGGAGATCCTCCATAGATGCTATAATGTGTACCATTTCCTCTGAATAGATGATCAAACCACCGGCCCTAGACGTGCGGAATCAGTGAAACACCAAACACAAGAATCAAATTGCATTTCACCTCAGTATCTTTCCTCACAGCTTGCGATTCTGAAATTTTAAATACTGATAAAAATTCTAATTTTTAAACATAATTACTTTTAATTAAATTACAGGTAAAATTATTTAAATTGAATTTAAATTAATTTTAATACATATTTATTTAATTTTAATGTCTGAATTTTAAAGCATTTTAATTAAAGTTTTCATTTTAAGTACTAATTTAATTCCAAATAAATCTATACAGTAGCATTTTTGTGTTTTCTCTGACATTTTCCATAATTTGTGGAGCCCGTGACAGAGCCCACATAAGTTGCATAAAATTTATATATCCTACTGCTGTATCTTAAATTACTAGGAAAATAAATTTAAGCTGTCTTCCCTGTCACTAATTGGCTCATCTCCGTTTAAGTTTAGCTTCTATTTGTAGGCCTGTGGACATTCGCTCTGCCATGCTGCAGTAGACTGCAAACTTTTAAACAGTTCTAAGGACTCTGGCGTGCTTTCTGCCTGTCGTCTGTGAGCTTTTACTCTGATAACTGCCCGAGTGGTAGCAGTTCTGGTCCTACACGAGAGCAAAGGACAAAGGAATGGGCACAAGCTCAGGGCCTGACTGTCCTGAGGAGCCTCCAGGCTTCTCAGCATTTCTGGACCCCCTGCTTTTGTTGGGGTACATGTCAGCCCTTATTTCTTCTGTCCCCACTGTCACTTGGATCCCCATTTCTCCCCTGGTCATCTACTCAGCCCAGCAGCTCCCTGCAGAGCCCAGAGGCAAGTAAGGGGCTGACGGCCAGCCAGGCCCACTGGTCTGCAGGCCACGCACTATGCCCAGGGGCCTGAGCCACCTGATTTGAACACCACCCCTGGACCGCAAACCTCTACATGGGCTGCTGCCCCAAGTTACCCCTCTACTCACCCTGTGCTCCACACTGGCGTTTCCAAAGCACTGCTCAACAGTAAACCAAGTTTCACGTCTGCGAGAATGGGAATCTCAGACTACTGCAAATGACCAAAGTCACATAATGAAGATTGTGGTCACATTATAGTCCACATGACCACGGCTTATAAGCAGTAGACCCAAACATCAAATCCAGCAAATCTTTTTACCGCAACTACTGCTTCACCCTACCCAATCTGTTACTGCCTTGAATGGAATTAAGACATAGTTTACTTATTAATAAAAGATGTCCTAAGATGCTTTCTCCAAAACTGATGTACAATTATGTCTCAAAACATTAGACTGGGTACCTGGATGCCAAGGCTGATGGGTGATTTTCTAACAAACTGGATTAACTCCCTGGTTATAAGCACGATTAGTCATGGCTTTTTATTACTATCCTGCTAAAGAGGCAGATTTTATTTAGATAACTGAAATCTGTTGTAGTTCATGGGCACTGATACTTCACATCAACAGTTCAACAAAAGAATTCTTGTCATGTAAGTTCAAGAATAAGTTTTAAAATTAAAATGGGCTATTTCTCAAAGCTACATAAGCAGGATGGTTCAGGCTGCTGGTAAGACATGCCCAGTCTATTTACAATGAGATGGGTTTACTGTTAAAATGCAAGTGAAAATCAAAAATATAACTAGTCATGACATATCTTGAATCAAGACACCACCTATCAAAATGTCACTGAGCCTTTCATGGTTCCCAGAGAGAAGAATTTGCCCAGACCACCTCACTGATGGTGAGAGACCATCCACAGGGAAGAAACTGTTTTAAATCAGAGTTTACTGCCCAGTAGGACACACTGATGGACAAGCCGGAGGCCACCAAGGGGTAAGCAACCAAGGTTTCTCATTCTGGTTTGTTTTTGTTTTTCATTTCCCTATACTTCCTGATCTTAGAGATTCCTCCCCACCCTACTCTTACATATTTATAATTCATCCTTCTCCTGCTTTTAATCTCGAAGTGATCATATGTTTTCCCATCATCCCTCAGTCATTAGTGGCATGCTTGAGGTGCAGTGCATCTGTATGAAGTCCTAAGTATGTGACAGTGAGGATAGGTCAACCCAAGGATAGGTCAACCCTGTGGCAATGAGTGTGAGCACCCCATGTGGGTGCAAATCCTCACTCTCCTTTGTGCTTAATTTGTGACTGACTGTGGCATCCTGGCTGACTTCTTGTTACCAAAAAAAAAAAAAAAAAAAAAAAAAAAAAAAATATATATATATATATATATATATATATATATATGTAAATAAGCAAACAGCTGGCACAGGACAACTGTCCTAGCGAACCTGCAGACAGCTGCCTGTGCCCATTAACACCTCTAGACCACTGCCCAGCACCGGTGTCTGACCACACTGAATAGCTGTGTTGCATGAAACGGAAGGCTGTATTTGCTTCCTTCATATTTTCTCCGAGAGCTTAACCCGGAATCTCCAAAGTGCCAAAGTCCTTTTTAACTTCTTTCTCCACACTCAGCACCATGTAGATTCAATGCTGCTGATGTTAAGCTGACCACCAGGCTTTCATCCATAACACCTCCTTAAACACCAGTCAGCAACTGAGCCTAAATAAGTACAATATGTTATCAATTAAAAGCCAGGCACCTGAGCAAAAAGAGAGAAAACACTAATTAACAGAGCAAAAAAAAAAAAAAACAATTTAAAAACCTGATGTTTTAATTTGCCTTCTATTTTATCTAGAAAACACAACAGCTTTCTGTGTGTATTGCAGACTGCTAATGTCCACAGGTTTTCCTCACTCTTGTCTTGATTGGTGATTGATATTTAAGGACATGGAAAAATTCTAGGAATAAATTGGTGTTTTCATTTCCCACGGATGCTATAACACATTACCACAATTTAATGGTTTAAAACACCAAAAGATGCCTTGTCCTACATTCCAGAGATCAGAAATTCAAAATGAGTCACACTGGCTTATATCCAAGTGCCACCAGCACTGTTCCCTCTGAAGGACAAGTGGCAGAATTCTTTCATGTGCCTCGTCCAGGTTCTAGAGGCTGCCTGTACTCCTTGGCTTGTGTTCTCGCCTCCATCCTGAAAATCTGGAGTAAGACATCCACATGTCTCCCTGGGACTCTGACCTCTGCCTTCCAAACCATGTTTCCTTTCACTCTGACCTTTCTTATTTGTTCTTAAGAGACAGAGATGCTGCCGATTTCATTGGGCAGTCCAGGGTAATCATCCCACTTCGATTCAACTGACTACAAAAGTCCCATTTGCTATATAAGATTTTTATCCATAGGTTTCAGAGATTAAGACAGGAACATCATTTTGGAGGGCTGCTGTCCTATGGACTGCCGTCCCTTCAGTCTCTGTCTCGGCACTCACTAGTACCCCAATGTGAAATACTTCTGCTGAGGTCAGTATTCCGGATGCTGACACATAATATTAGATGTGATACTAAGAATCTTTAAAAGATTCACAAAGCTACATAAGTTAGTATCAAATTCTCTGGTTCTAGCAAGAGGACTTCAAATCCTGATATTCTAAGGTGGGACCAATTTTTCAAGATGAATCAGAGAGAAACACAGGCGAGCCCTGAGTCTCTGGATGAAGGCTTCAGAGTGGAAAAGCCATAGTGTTCATTTTGGCCTCTGATATTTCCATGGCGTAGATTGCTGCAAGAGTTTGCCCCAGTCAAACCTATTTCCAACAAAGCACTTCCAGCAATTGAGTATGACTTAAAAGAAAGAAAGAAAGCCTCTAGAATAGGTTCATTGCCATCTACTTATGAAACAATCAAAACCGTTTCATACAGTATTATGTAATCTATCCATTTGGATTCACATTGGTTTAGGAAAATATGGAACAGAATATTGAACATGTTCATAGAATGATAATTGACTGTGTTTACAACTAATAATGCAAACGCATACTACACTATAAGTACTGCGGAAATATATAAAGTGATCAATAAAATCTCCCCCTAGTGTATTCACCCTTTTGTGTTTGCCCTTCAAAAAGAGAACAATGGTGTGTAGAATAGAGTAAGTACCTAGAGGTGACATGGCAGGCTAGGTGGAAACGAGAATAAAGTTGTGTGATCCTTAAAACTATATGGAAATTAAACTTAGCTTTTCTTCACTTCCTGCTCTGTGCCTGCCTCTCGCATCACTGTGATTAGATACACACTGCATTCCACTGTGTAGAGCATCACAGTTCACCTGCTCTCCTGTTGATCCACCTCAGGATAAAATCAAAGTTTTTCAATGACATACAACTTTTAAAATCTACTGCTCTTATGAATATGCAGAAAGGCTCCTCTGTCCCCATTCTGCAATACCCAGCTTTTTTCTAGAAGATAACTGTAGCTACACATCCTGCAGGTGTACCTCTTCGGGATGTTTATCCGCCACAGATGCTGTCTTCGTATTTATACTACCTCATTGTTCTGCACCTGCTGTCTGATACTTCCTGAAATACCTTGAAAATCTTTTCAGAGCAGCATCCAAGTATTCGCTGAGATCTTCTCTACATCCTTTGATTATTGCCAGCTCTGAAAAGAACTGAGATTTTTTTAAGGAAGCATTTTAACAGAAATTTCTGATTTTGCTTTTTCTTTCCAAAATACATTAATTTGCCTATGATAATTCAAACCTTAAGAAAGAAAGCCAATATTTACCAATAAGAAGATTCCATTTGGAAACCACTTACCACAGTATCTCCCACTTAAGGGTTTAGCAGCATTCGCTGCAGAGAAACTCCTCCTGCATTCGCTTGAACGATACTTTGCAGCAGTTTAAGCTCACTGGCATTGACTCTGTCTTCCACGAGAACAAAATAGCTGTATTTCACCCCCAAAATTATAATAAATGTGTCTTCTAGAAAAATCTCTACCATATAATTTTTACTTGTTTCTTAATACCTCAAAATAACCCCAATCCTTCAAGTTATATATCAGCAGGGGAAGCCCTGATCCACTGAAACAAGGGAAGGGAAGTTGTCTGCAGTTACTTTCTATGATGAAGTATGCAGAAGAGGAATAAAACTTTACTGACATTTTCTGAAGGTCATGGGAAAGAAAAGACAACAGTCACTCTGTCTTCAGAAACACAGGAGAACTGATAGCCCAAATTTACTGGAGAACTGGAGAGTGCATGCATCTAAAGATTATAATAAAAATTATACTTAAACATCATGTTTGATTCCAAACAGAATTTATGATTTGGGAAAGAATTTGGAAAAATTCTTTTTTTGTTTGTTTTATTTATAGAAAAACTAAAAAAAAAAAAAACAGAAAATAGGTAGAAATAATACATACGTTCAGAGAAAAAAAAACAGTAAGAAATCACTAGTTGAGGTTTACATATTGTCGTTTTACAAACAGTTGTTCAAGATACAAAAATGGAACTTGTAAAGTAGGGATTCAAATAATGAGACTGCAACCTCTTCTGCTCAACTGTCCAACAAAAACTTAGTAACATGGTTGTCAATCCTACACACTTAAACATACATGCAGTTATCCATAGCTTCACTTATGTTTAAATTAAACAAACTAAAGCAGGTTAAAATCATTCTGAACAAAGAATAATAGTATTACTGGATTTCACATCATGACACTCCGTGATCAGCACTGAGTACTATAATGTCTTTTTTTTAATTTAATTTAAAGAAAGACTAAACAAAACAGAAAGCAGATAGAAATAATACATAATTTCAAAGAAAAAAGAAACAGTAAGAAATCACTAGTTGATGATTACAGATTGTCTTCTTACAAATAGTTATCCAAGATACAAAAGTGGAGCTTATAAAGTGGGGATTCAAAAGTGAGATTGAAACCAGTTCTGTTCAACTATCCAACAAAAACTTACAAATATGGTTATCAATCCTATACACTTAAACATACATGCAGTTATCCATATCTTCATTTATGTTGAGATTGAATAAACCTAAGCAGGCTAATATCACTCTGAACAAAGAATAATACAATTTCTGGGTTTCACATTATGACACTCCAGGATCAGCACTTGGTATTTTAGTGTCTCTTTTTCTTCAAAGTATCTCTTCATCATGTGTCATATGATCAGTTCTCATAAACTGCTTATAGATTCTACACATGCATGAGTCTTAACATGTATTTCTATCCTTTCTATATTATAGGGAGAAACAAAACAAAGCAAGGCAAAATAAAACATATTGCTATAAACACATGAAATAAACATGTAAGACCGTTGTACAAATCATTCTACCATAGTTCCTGTGTTTGTTTCTTGTTATCTCCAATAGAATTAGCTATATCATCAGACATAGTATAATTGAATATATCAGTACATAACATTAATAAAAACACAACTTTGTATATAGTATAGAACTTCAAAAACTGGCAGTTATCAAACCAGAATGTGTATCGTAGAGTCTTGTCATCTTCAGTGTAGTTGCCTATACTCTCAGACTTGATACTATCAGTCATATCAGTTTTGAATAAAATCTTCTCTGCCTCATTTCTGTTATGCTCTTTTTTTGCCATCAGTTGTCTGCTTATTTTCTTCATTGTTTTCTGCTACATTCATTGAGGCCTCTCTGCCAAGGTTCCTGGAATCCTGTACTTTTCTCTCTCTCTAGAATGCCCTGGAGTATTCTCTGTAGAGTTGGATTGGTGGTTGCAAATTTCCCAAGTTCTTTGTCTTGAAAGCATCTTGTTTCTCCATTAATTTCTAGAGACAGTTCAGCAGGGTATATCAATCTGGGATGGAGGTTATTTTTTTTTTTTTTAGGGCTTAGAATATTTCACTCCAGGCTCTTCTTGACTTGATGGTTTGTGTCAAGAAGTCTGCCATTATTCTGATGGGCCTTCCTTTATTGGTTATCTGTTTCTTTTCTCTAACAGCTTTTAATATTCTGTTCTTACATTGAATTTCTGGGATCTTGACTATTATATGCCTGGGTGTGGCTCTGTTTTGGTTGCAGGTGGCCGGAGTTCTGTATGCCTCATATATCAGAATATCATTTCCTTTTCATATGTTTGGGAAATTTTCCTTAATTATTTCTGTGAATAAGCTTTGTAGTTCCTTTGTTTATATCCCAGGTTCTTCATTTACGTTCTTTATTCTCAAGTTATAGATTCTTTTGTCATCTTCTAGCCTTTGTATTGTTACTGCTTGTTTCCTTGTTATTTTAAAAAAGTTTTCCCTTTCATACTCCCACATTGAAAAATTGTTCTCCAGTTTAGATAATCTATCCTTAGTTTCTTTCAAGCTGATTTGCCATCTTTCCATAGAGTTTTTAATTTCCTGGTGATCTCTTTGAATCTGCTTCATGTATTCTATATTTTTTTATATTCTTCACCAAATGGTTCTCTCCTTTGTTTGAGTTCCTCCCTTCTTCCATCTGTGTCTGCTTGAGGGGTGCTTAGTATCTCTTTTATTGATCTTCTTATATATTGCTTTATTTGGCTAAATATTTCACTTTTGAACTCATCTATGAGGTCCCAAATATATCTCTTTTTGTCCACTGGCACTGTGTCTGATATTGCATATTTGCTGTTCTCATTCTCTTTTGTATTTACCTGTCCTGGGTCAATGTTCCCAGGGTTGGGTCCCAGGGACTTTTTGTTGTTGCTTCCTCTTCCCATCTTTTTTGCTTCTTCCAGGAGGCCCCAGTTTCTTTCTTTGTTACTTACAATTGTTCTAAAGTGCACTGGCTAGATGACCCTTCACACTGCAGTAATGCTAGCGAGTTGCAGACTGGAACAGCATATGCTGGCCCCTCCCCTTAGAATCAGTCAAGGTGCTGTGGCCTGCACTACTGTATTACTTTGCGCTGCCTCCCCTCCGGATCAGCCAAACCTCCGAGGCCCCACTGGGCCAGTGTGGTTAGTGTGCGCCACCGCTGCAGGGACTTGACCTCAGATAACCTATTGGGTCTCAGCTGAGTCACGTGACCCAGGTCTAGCTCACTCCACCAATCCCGTTTGGGAAGGGAACAATTGACTGAAGTTGCTGCTGCCCCTTGTACTTGCCAGTTCTGCCTGGTCCAGAATGTTGTCCACTGGAGCCCCCCTATTTATGGAATGGCTCCACTCCCATCACTCACCACAGGTCATGTAGGCACCCTGCCAACTCAGCCCTCTGTTCCACTCATTGACCCCCGAACTCAATGTAACTGTGCCTCCAATGAGTCAAAGCAGTGGGACCCTGGCCAGTCACAGCAGGACCTCGGCAAGTTGCAGCAGGACCTCAGATGGTCAGCAAGTTGCCTTAATTTCTTCCTTCTTGGGATGAGAGAATTCATCTCCCTCTGTTGGGGGCTCCTCATGCTGTATTATGTTGAATTCTAAGTTGACTATCTCAGGGAGCTTCTGTAGCCAGTTGTTATTTATCCACCATCTTTGCTCCATCCCCAGAATTTGGAAAAATTCTTAGGATAAATTTTACAATGACAAGCTTTAAAATACAAAATTCCCTTGGAAATTTCTCACTGTTTAGGTATCTACTTCTCACAAATTCATTTCTACTTAAGTATTACCCACCAGACATTTCACTTATAGATGCCCATTAGCTATCCCTGTGCAGTGGAACAGATCTCAAATTTTCCAACTGAGATTATCAATGAATGTACTCTGTCATTCATAGCTGTGTATATTACCTGTTTAGTACTGAGGGTATGCAACATGTTATAAACTCTGACTATAAAGGAATTTTAAGACTGAATATCATAAAGAATTACAATACATATAGTAAGTGTGCATTGAGTATTACAGAGACCAATGTGAAATGAAACCATTTAGGGTGAACAGCAGTCTAGACTTTAATAACTTATTTTTTTTTTGCATCTTATGGATCCACCAAGCAAAACCAAAATCAATATAAGACCATTGATTCTGTGATTTAAAAAAACATGCATCTGATTAGAGGCATTATATTATGAAAAAGGTTACAAAATTGTTCATAATCTGGTATTAAGGACTGGGAGAAAGAACAAAATTCTCAACTGCAGAAAATGTAAAACCTATTTGCCCCTCATTTTTCCTTTAGTCCCATTTGATGCTGTATCCTAAACCTCACAGAGAGAGTCAGAGTCATGTATTATGAAAAAGTTTTCCATGTTTTGCATTGTGTTGTCTCACTTTCAAAATAGTTGGGTGACAAAAGTCCTTATTTTACTTCCAGCTGCATTGAGCCAGAGGGCTCACTGCAGGCACGTGATTACTGATTGGCACTGGGAGATCTACCAAAAGGGGATCAAAATTATTTGGGGAAGATGCATGGTAGTTTTCATGTTAGAAACACTTGAAAGATGAAACTCTGAAAGACCACAATGAATGCTTTTCTTCAGGTAGTAATCATGGTAACCTGCATTTGGTAACCTGCATGTGGTAACCTCCACTGCCTGGAGACCTGAGCTAACCTTAGTAGGATGCGATGGCACCTGGACCTTAAAGTCTCTTCTCACAGTACAATACAGTTTCCCTGTCACTCCCATTCTGTCTGCTATGTCCCTCCTGGGTCAGCTATGGGGATGCTGAAGTCCTTGCTTGCTTCCTTTGTTCACTGCAGAGGCTTCGGGT